CCTCCATATTATGTAGTGCTGTGTTATCATGGAAGAAGCAGATGAGATTGAGGAGCTTTGTTGGATTTTGTCAAAATCTTGCAGAATCCTGCTTTGTTAACAATATCAAATGGCTTAGTGAGATCTTCAAAATCACAACTAAAATAATTCTTCATGTTGAATAATGTTACCATTTATTTGTATATGTTGTGGATGTGGACATTATTAACACTATTAACTAGACCAGCATTTATTATCCACTCCTAATTGCTGTGGAGAAAGTGTTGGTGAGCTGCCGCCTTGAACTGCTGCACTCTTTGGGGTATATGTGTACCCTCAATGCTGATAAGGAGGGAGTTCCAGGATTTTGCTCTATCAAGACAGTGAAGGAGCAGTAAAATTGTTCTGAGTCAGGTTGTTGTGTGGCTTGGAGGGGAATTTACAGGTGATGGTGTTCATGTATGTTTGCCTTTGCCCATTTAGACGGTAGGGAATCTTGTATGTGGAATGTACTGCCAGAAGAGCTTGGATGAGTTGCTGCATTGATTCCAGTTTTGCTAGGGCTTTGTGCTGTTGTACAATGTGAAATGCTGCCTTGATATTCATGGGCAGTCTCTCTTCATCTCTGGAATTTAGTTCTTCTGTCCGTGTTTGGACCAAGGTTGTAATGAGATCGGGAGCTGAGTGGCTCTGGTAGAACTTGGGTTCCCCTTCCTATTCATACATTTGTCCAGGTGCTGCTTGAATTGCTATTGTGTCTGCTTCTACCACCTCCCCTGGCTGCGTGTTCTAGGCACTCACCACCCCTTGTCTGGAAAAACTTGCCTTGCTCATCTTTTTAAGCTTGCACCCTGAACCTATGTCCTCTGGTAATTGACTCCTCCTCCCTGAGAAAAAGCCTCATACTTTCCATTCTAGCCATGCCATTCATAGTCTTTTAAACTTCTATGGGGTCACCCCTCAACTTCCTGCGTTCCAGTGAAAACAAACCCAGTCTATCCAACCTTCCTGCATTGATCACTGTGGAACACCACTAGTCACAACCCTCCATTCCAAAAAGCATCCTTCCACTGCTACCCTCTGTCTCTTCTGACTAAGCCAGTTCTGTATCCGGCTTGCCAGTTCACCCCTGAAACTGTGAGTTCACCTTTAAACCAGTCTGCCATGAGGGACCTTGTTAAAGGCTTTACTGAAGTCCATCAACTGCTTTTCCCTCATCACTCATCTTCGTCTCCTCCTCAAATAAACTTGATCAAGTTAGTGAGGCATGACCTTCCCTGTGCAAAACCATGCTCTCTATCACTAATAAGTCCATTTGCTTCTAAATGCATACAAATCTTGCCCCCGCGAATCTTTTCTAATAATTTACCTACCACCAACGTGAGATGCTCAGACCTGTGATTTCCTGGGATAACCCTGCTACCCTTCTTAAACAATGAGATAACATTGGCTATTCTCCAGTCCTCTGGGACCTCACCTGTGGCCAAAGAGGATACAAAAATATCTGTTAGTGCTCCAGCAATTTTGTTCTCTTGCCTTCCTCAGTATTCTGGGATAGCTTCCATCAGGAAGTGGGACGTATCTACCTTTAATACTTTTTAAGATGTACAACAACTCAGCTTGGAAATTTGACACTTCCTTCCCTGAGATCGTCCTCCACCAATTCCTTCTCTTTTGTGAATGTTGACACAAAGTTTGCATTTAGGACTTCCCCCACCTTTTCTGGCTCCACACACAGATTCCTTGCTTTGTCCTTGAGTGGGTCATCTCTTTCTTGGCTACCGTCTTGCTTTTTGTGTATGTATAAAAACCCTTGACTTCCCATAACCCCTTTTAGCCCTTCTAATTCCTTGTTAAAGTTCTTTACTACTTTCCTGAGATACTTCAAGGGCTTTGTCAGTTCCCAGCCTCCTAGAGCTTACATATGATTCCGTTTACTTTTTGACCCAGGTCATAACATCCCTGGTCATCCAAGGGAGACGTAATTTGCCATTCCTATCCTTCATTCTTGCAGGAATGTGCCGCTCCTGAGTTATTAACTGTTTGAAATACTCCCACATGTTCGATGTGGATTTACCCTCAAACAGTCACCTCCAATCAAAATTCTCTAGTTCCTGCCTAATATTGTTGTAGTTTGCCTTCCCCCGATTTAACACCTTCACCTGAGGATTGCTGTTATCCTATCCATGAGTATTTTGAAACTCAATGAGGTTGTTGACTTGCTCGCCGAGCTGGCTCATTCTTGTTCAGACATTTCGTCACCATGCTAGGTGACATTATCAGTGGAGCTTCCGCTGAAGCGATGTTATCGTCGGAGGCTGCACTAATGATGTCACCTAGCATGGTGACGAAATGTCTGAATGAAAACAAGCCAGCTCAACGAGCAAGTCAACAAACTCACCCACAACCCGAGCTGCAGATCTTTACCAAAACTTTAAAACTCACAGTATTATGGTCACTACTCCCGAAATGCTCCTCCAATGAAACTTCGCTCACCAGGCTGGGCTCATTTCCCAAAACTAGGTCCAGTATAACCTCTTCCCTGGTTGGACTGTTTTCATTTATGCTGCTTTTTTCTGTACAACATACCCATGCAATTTTTAACATTGCCAGGTAAATCCAGTGTTGTAACTGTAATGGAACAGCTTACCTAGGGGGATAGCTAATTCTGGAGCACACAGTTTCAGTGCTGTTGGTGGAATGTTGTCAGGGCTGTTCCCTCTGCAGGATTCAATACTTTTCATTGTTTCTTGCTAACATGTTAAGTCAATCAAATTGGCTAAAGATTGACAACAGTGATGTTCGGGACTTCAGGAGAACTCTTTTATGATTGTGGTAAAAATAGACTATCAATTTTGACTTCCATTATCTGATTTTTAATACCTGAGATCTTTTCATTCACCCATCTGATTTTAAAGAAAGGAAAGCCAGTGAAATAGGATGGCCACAGTGATAATATGATAACAGGTTGAGCTAGTTCATGAAACCAGTCTGAACTGAAATAAACATGTCATCAAAATGACTGAATGCAGTAATTCAGTTCTGTATCTCCTGTTTCATTTACATCTTTTTGGAAGTTTCATATATTCAGTTGAAAATCACCTGCAGAATATACAGCTCAGGGGAAAGGAAATAACAAAACCAGACATTGTAATACACAAAAAAATTGTATTTCTGTTCAATGTTTTTGGTCAGAACACAGAGAGAAGAAAATAGATTTGTGGCTGCAGAACTGGAAAGCTTGCTCTCTATCTTTTCTTCCCTCAGCCCCTCAAACTGGAGTAACTTTAATTCATCAAGAATTCAAGCATGGCCTCAAATTTCATGATTTAAAACAGAAATTGCTGGAAAAGCTCAGCAGGTCTGGCAGCATCTGTGAAGAGAAATCAGAGTTAATGTTTTGGGTCTGATGACCCTTCCGCAGAACAGTTCTGAGGAAGGGTCACCGGTCCTGAAACATTAACTGATTTTTCTTCACAGATGCTGCCATACTTGCTGAGCTTTTCGAGCAACTTTTGTTTTTGTTCCTGATTTACTGCACTAGCAGTTCTTTTGGTTTCTACAAATTTCACCATTGCTGAGGATCCAAAATATCAATTAAACACTAATGCTTTCAGCACTCTAAGAATTTTTTTTAACCAAGCAGTGTCATGACTGATATGGGAGGAGTGCACTGTTTCTCTCTGATCCCACTACTCCATGGGTCACAACATAAATTTAATTGTTACCTGGTTCCCGATATGTGCTTTCCCTTTGTACCTAAAACAAAATGATCAATAAACCAGTTTTTCTTTAATTAATATAGAATTGTTGATTTATTGTAAAATAACCTATTCCATGAATGTTCAAAACTGATCACGGACTCAGTCCACGAAAATATTAATATTGACCTCTTTAGATATCCTGTAATACACACGGACACACCAAGATGCATCAGAAAAGGAAAAGTCATTTTCCATGCAGAGGTTCACATTTTTCAAAAAAAAAACATACAGCTTGTAAGTCTTAGTTCTTGAAGGCAAAAAGGATGAGGCTTGAGATGTTTAGATTGCCTTAATTCTGACGTTCTGGTGCACAAAGATTGATGTCACTGAACATATGCTATGTTCAGGAAATATCGACTAAATCTTCCAGAGGCCTCCCGTACAAAAGCATCTAGAACCAAGCCTGCAGCTGCTGCACAGGACCCACATTAAGGACTCTTTTTCCAGAAACTGGAGACCTGAATTGGGAAGCTTCCTTCTTTCAACAAGCTTTTCCCAAACTACTCCAAACAGCATCTAAAGCAGAAACTGGAACCTGAGAGGACATCTCCAGTTTTAAAAAAAAAAGTAGTCATCACATGACCTGTTACTACCAAACAAAGCCTTGTTAACAAAAAAATTGTTCCAATGTCATTGCTTTTTGAGAGAGATCAATGAAATCATCCAGGCATCCACAGTCTTACAAACTCAAAGCCATAGAAATTATAAATATGAGGCATTGATGACTACTGCCTATTTTTGATTTTACTTTTTATATTTGACACTTTCCTTTTCAAATTTTATACTTTTATGTGTGTTTGATGTTACATTTTATTATTCTCTGATTTTTATTATCTTCTCAGTAAGTGATATTCCTTTTAATTTTATGCAAGAAACCTTGTAATTGACTCTTTTTTTTCCTAGTACTATGTTTTTAACTGAAGTGTGATTTGGCTGTGTGCTAAAAAGAATTTGAAATCTTTATTCTGCTAAATGAGGGTGTTAGAAAGAGGGGAGCTGATTAATTCCTCTGTCATAACAAAAACAAAGTGGGACATCCACTCGGCACTTCTAGCTCAAGATGGGTGCAGGTACGGTGAATAGAGAGAGTGAACTAGTGTGATGTTTGAACAGATTTCTTGTCATTACGAAATTACTTATGCAAAATCCAAATTCAGATAATCACTTGGATACAGTTTTAAGGCCAAAAATATAAAATTTGTTGGAACCTTGGATATCTTCTTTTCAATTATAAATATTATTTGCTTGTGTCTTTAGGGTGTCAAGGAACAAATCAGAGAAGAAAAGACGAGATCAGTTCAATGTGCTCATTAAAGAGCTCAGTTCCATGCTACCTGATAATAGTCGGAAAATGGATAAATCAACAATATTACAGAAAACAATTGATTTTTTACAGAAACACAAAGGTAGTTAATGTGTCCTATGCGAACAAAACCTTGCTTTGTATTTGTAGAATAAGTGTGCTAACTTTAATGGGGAGGGAGAGGAGGAAATTGAGACGTGGATTATTTCATGCGAGTAATTTCGGGTTTTACTTCTAGTTTTTAAATTGATCAAGATTGTAAAGGTAAATTTTATTATTGTGTTATTGTTTTAAGAGCTGGATTTGTTAGTGAGCCAAGGACCAAGATAAAACCACATGACCAACTGTCATGTGCACACCAGACGGAATCATGCTAAAAGAAGGCGCATGCAAAGTAACCTGCACCTGCAAGTTGTAGTATGAGCTATTAAATAAACCTGTGAGATTTTCAAGATACCCATCCCTTGTGTTGATATATTGACAAAGAAATGCAGTTATGGCAATTCAGTACAGAAACTGCATATATTTTTTGCTAGTAGACATGAATGGACCAGCAACAGCATACATGGATCTCAATATTGTGACTGTTCATGAGATCACTAAGATATCTATTGCAGAAGAAGAGATGAAGAATATTCTCTTTGAGCTAGAACAGGAGTAAAGAACAATCATACCCAGAAAGATTCAGTGCCATAGAAAACTTGATTACTCCTTGGAGATGACATGATTCCATCAATAACTCTCCCACTAGTAGCCTGGATGAGAAGTTCGTAGAATACTATTGAAAGAGTTTCTTAAAACAGCAATTCTGACCAGAAAGCAAGCTATATTTGACTTGATATTGTGTAATGTGGAAGAATTAATTAATGGCTGCAGAGTAATGTCAAGTCTAGGTAGTAGATATGAGTGAATTTTACATCTAGTTTGAAAGAGGGAAGATCAGGTCTGAGTTTAGTGTTTTCAATATTAATGTTGGAAATTATGTGAGCATGAAAGTTGAGCTAGCTTAAGCGAACTGAAATACTAGGCTAAGGCACGGTGATCAACATTTACAAGGATATTTCAAAATACACAGAATAGATATATTCCTACAACAAAGTACAATTCTAAAGGGTGGACTCACCATCCATGGTTAACTGAAGACCTCAGAGAAGCATCAAACCTAAGGAGTATAGCATGTAATTGCATAAAAATGAATGGCAGCTCCAATGAAAGGTCAGAAGATAAAGAATGTCAGAACACGACTAAAAGGAAGAAATTAAAGTATGAACAGCAGATGGCTAAGAATGTAAAATAAGATGTTACATATTTAAAAATGAAAAGAGGAATTAAATAAAGTGTTATTCCTCTAGAGAGTGAGAATGGGAAGTTAATAGTCAATACTGAGGAAATGGCAGATGGAATGACAAACAGTTTGCTTCTGCCATCACTATAAACAACAAAAATAAAACATTTCAGGAATTGGTGTAAATGAGGAGGTGGATTATAATCACTAGGGAAGTGGTACTAAACAAACTTGATGGAGTTGCGGGCTGACGGTTCTCCAGCTCAAAATGTATTTCATCCTTGGGTCTTAGGTTGCAAAGAGGTTATTAATTTTCCAAAATTCTCAAGGTACTGGTAAAGCTCCATCTGACTAGACAGTAGCAAACATAATCCCTTTGTTCAAGATGGTAGGTAAGAAACAGGAAACTACAGGCCAGGTACATAGTTTTAGGCTAAGGGAAGACGCATTTAAAATAGAAATGAGGAGGAATTACTTGTCTCAAAGGTCATGTATTTGTGAAATTTGCTACTATGGAGTGCAGTGGATGCCAGAACACTGAATAAAATTTGAGGAGATAAATTTTAAATTTTTAATTAGTAGCAGGTTAAATGGTTATGGGAACGGGCAGAAATGAGATCAGCAATGATTGTTCTAACTGGCAAAGCAGGCTCAAGGGGCTGAAATGCCTATTCCTGCTGCTAGCTCTTATGTAGTTAAATCGCACTGAAGCATCTCTGCATCCTCCTCAGAATTAACCTTCTAACCCAGCCTTGGAGATGTTTCGTTTAGTTACTTCATCTAATTCAATATATATAGTGAATAGCTGGGACCAAGCGCTGATCCATGTGGTACCACATTAGTGATTGTCTGCCACTAGTAAACGGACCCGTTTACTCCTAATCCTCAGCAATAACCTGCTCGCCTTTGCCCAGTTTGCATTCCATCAGGGCCACTCAGCTCCTGACTTCATTACAGTCTTTGTTCAAACATGGACAAAAGAGCTGAATTCTAGAGGTGAGGTGAGAGTGACAGCCCTTGTCATCAAGGCTGCATTTGACTGAGTATAGTGTCAAGGAGCCCTGGCAAAACTAGAATCAATTGGTTCTCAGGGGCAAACTCTCTGCTGTTTGGAATCATATTTAGCGCATAATAATATGGTTTTGGTTAGACATTCAGTGGCGTTAATGTCACTGAATCTCCCACAGTCATCATCCTGGGGTTTGCCATTGACCAGACTCTTAACTGATCTTGCCATCTAAATACAGTGGCTAGAAGAGCAGGTCAGAGGTTAGAAATACTGTGGCAAGTAACCAATGTCCAGATTGTCAAAAGCCTGTCCACAATGTACAATGCACAAGCCAGTGACTGCTCCCCACTTGCCTGGTTGAGTGCAGCTCCACTAACACTTAAGAAACTTGACACTATCAAGTGTCAAGCTTGACAAAGCAGGATGCTCAGTAGGAGCGTTGTGTCCTGTCCACAAGATGCACTACAGAAATTTTCCGAAGATCCTTGGACAACACCTTCCCAAACCCACATCGCTATCGTCTAGAAAGACAAGGGCAGCTAATATGTGGGAACACACACCACCACCTGCAAGTTGGTTTGTTGAGTAATTCGTAATCTTGAGGAATGGTAGACAGATCACCCGAGTGAACCCTTCTTTTGGAAGTTATGGATCCATTACGGATCTTTGACTAATACATTTATAATAAATGTCATTTGCTGTTGAAGCATGAGCTCTGGTTCCAAACTTGAGTAGCAGCTGGAGTAACCGAGTTGCAGCTGTGAGGCAGAGAACTAAATCTAACCATTTAACATTTATTTGCCATTAAAGACCCATTCTCATTGGGTGATAATGGCTTGGAATTGAATATTTAGGGATGTTTGCTATTTAGGAAAGATAGGTAGATGGAAAAAGAAGATGGTGGTGGTGCTGCTAATAATGGATGAGATCAGTATATTTGTGAAAGGGGATCTTGGATCAAAGGATTGAGATGAGTGGAGTTAGTAAATACCAAGGGACAACAAATATTGATGGGATTTGTTTTTCAGCCATGGAATTGTCATTGTAATGTTGGGCATGGGTTAAATCAGGAAATTAGGGCTCCATGTAACATGGGGTGTTACCATTGCAGTAGGAAACTTCAGTTTACACATAAACTGGGTGAACTTAATTAGCACTATTGTTCTGGAGGATGAATTCCTTTAGCAAATATGAGGTGAGTTTCTAGAGCAGCAGATTGAGGAACCAACTAGGTATCAAGCGGTTTTAGATTTTATAAAGAATAACCATCCTATAGCAGCCATTGGGAAATGGTGACCATAATATAATGTAATTTTAGATTGTTTTAAAATGATATAGTTTCTTTTTGAAAGGCAGCTATGATGGGATATGGGGCAGTTTTTCAAGGTGGATTGGGATGTACCTTAAAATATTGCCAGTTGACAGTCAATGCTAGGGAATTTAAGGAAATACCACATTGCCTACAACAGTTGTACATTCCTCTAATCATCAGAAAATCCAGGAAAGATGTATCAGTCATGACTATCAAAATAACTTGAAAAATGAATTACATTAAAGGAAGTCATTTAATAAAGTTGCCAGGAGGGATGGTAAACCTGAAGATTGGAAGCAGTTTAGAATCCAGCAAAAGAAGATCGCGAAACAAATAAAGGAAGGACAAACAAAGCATGAATGTAAGCTAGCGAGAAACTTAAAGCTGGACTGTGGAAATTTCTTTTGGTATGTGACAAGGAGAAGATTAGCAAGGACAAATGTGAGCCCATTACAGGTGGAGATAGGAGAATTTGTTATGGAGAATACGTGACGTTAAGCAATTATTTTGTGGCTGTTTTCATGAAGGAGAAGCAGAACGTCTAGAAATACTAGGGATTTTTTGATTAGTTTGAAACTGATGAACTGAAACAAAATATTATTAATAGAGAGCTAATATTCAGAATTAATTGGATTGAATGTTGATAAATCCTCAAAGACCAGATGAAGTACATCCTAGAGTATTGCAGGAGGTGACTGTAGCAATAGTGTTTGCGTTGGTGGTTATCTATCATAATTCAAAAATTCTGGAAAGGTCTTTGCAGACGGGAAATGATCAAATGTTAACCAATTATTTAAGATGGGAGAGAGAGAGAAAACTAAGAAATACAGACTCTAGTTTGAAAGTGGTAGCCATGCCAATGTTAGAATCAGTAATAAAGGATGTGATAATTGGATGTTTTGAAAACAATAATATAATTGGGCAGAGTTAACATGGACTTATGAAAGGAAAATAATGTTTGAACAGCCTGTTGAAGACTTTTGAGGATGTTACTTGTAGTATAGATAAGAGGAAACCAGTGGATGTGTGTGTTTGGATTTTCAGAAAGTTTTGAATGAGGTCCTACACAGGGTCGTAGTAAACAAAATTAGAGTACATGAGATTGACAGTAATACACTAGCATATATAGCGAATCGCTTAATAGATAGGAAGTGAAGAGGAATAGTAGATTATTCTAAAGATGGCAGGCTGATACAAGTGGGGTACCTCAAGAATTAGTACTAGATTCGCAGATGTTCACAATCTAGATAAATGAGTTAGATCTGGGGACAAGAATGTAAAGTTTTGAGTTATTTGATTTGATTTATTGTTGTCACATGTACAGTGAAAAGTTTTGCTTTACGAGCAGTGCAGGCAGATCATAACATACAAGGACATACAGATCATAGGGTGTTTAGATAGAGCGAGGCATACAAAATTACACCAAAATGAGTTGAGAATGTAAGTCGTGGTGAGGATGCAAAGAAGCTTCAAAGGAATGTGGACAGGCTAAATGAATGGGGAAAATACACCGCAGATGGAATATAATTTATTTCATTTATTTACTTTTTATACATTTGCAGGATGCAGGTTGTTCTGGCTAGGCGAGTGTTTATTGCTCATCCCTAATTATCCTTGAGAAGGTGATGATGAGCTGCCACCTTGACCCACTGAAGTCCATGTGTAGTAGGTACCCCCACAAGTCTGTTAATGAGGGACTTCCAGTATTTTGACCTAGCAACAGTGATGTAGTTCCAAGTTAAAATGGTGTGTGGCACAGAGAAGAATTTGAAAGTGGTGGCATTCCCATGCATCTGCTTCTCTTGACCTTCTAGTTTGTAGAAATTGTGGGTATGGAAAATACTGGCTAAGGAACTGTAGTGAATTTCTGCAGTGCATTTGTAAATAGTATGCACTGGCAACTTCCAGTGTACTTGTCTCAGCTTGTGGATCTCAGTCTCTCGCTCTTGCTTACTCTCCTCCATTCCCTCTTGACTCTTTGCTCATCTTCTTGCCCATCGTTTCTTCATCTCTGTCAACCCTCTCTCTTGCTTTGTGCTCTCTGTGTTTGCTGTCACCTTTTTGGTATGTTGCTACTCCCGTGCTACGCTCACTCACACTTACTGTTATTTCCTTTGCTGATCTTGCTCATTCTCTCATTGCTGTTCCTTGCCCTCTTGCTTTCACTTACTTTCTCCCCTCTTCCCTGTACTCTTGCCCACTCTTTGTTCTGTTGCCACCTCTCCCTTTTCTCTCAAACTGTTTCACCACTTTTCATCTCTCTGTCTTTTTCACACACTCCCTCTCCCTACACTCTGTCTTTCTCACTCATATTCTTGTAGACTGAGCCTATCTGTAAGTATTGGTGATATTTTAGGACAGACCTGCAACCCCAGTCTACAGTGGCTGCCTGTGGACTCTCCCTCCATAAAGTCCACCTCTATGTCAACATCATATGAGTTTTGGATCCAGGTACGAATGTTAATTAGCTATCCTCCAGATGGTCCAAAACAAAACAAAAAACTGTTGATGCTGAATGTGTGAAACAACACCGGAAAAACAGAACAATTCTGAAAAAGGGCTGCTGGACCTGGAAAGTTAACTCTGCTTTCTGTCCAAAGATGCTTCTAGACCTGCTGAGTTTCTCCAGCAATTTTTGTTTTTGCTCCCGATGGCCTATTCCATTCTAGATGTTTTCAGTTGACCTATTCAGACATGTGATGACATATATTTGGCACATGTGAGACTTGAACCAGAGACCTTCTGGCCCAGACGTAGTGGCCGTACCACTCATAATAATCTATATTGGAATTAATCAGACTGTTTGAAGAATAAATGTTTACAAAATCTAACATTCCTAACAGACCTAAAAGTTTATCTGCTATCAGCACAGCTGCTTGAATGATTGTTTACAGGTGTGAATATCTTGTACCTCCTTCTCTGTGAGGAAACCCGAATCCTCCATTAACCTAACAACCAAGCAACCCGGCCTTCCTGGCAGCAGATTTCAGAGCAGGTCATGACAGTCCCTTCATTCCTCCATCTTGCCCTATATGATAAACAGTCCCAAAAAACAATTCATATTTATAACTGCAGTCATAATGCAGAAAAATGCACAGTGAATTTGTGCGTAAAAAGTTTTCATAAACAGCAATGTTATAATGATCAAATAATCTTTTTTAGATGTTGTTTGAGAGATTATTTTTGACCATGACATCAAAGAGAGCTGAGCTGCATTTTTTTCGGAATGGTACCATCTGATCTTTTACTGAAGATCAGTACAATGGTGAAGTGCTAGCTTAGCGTTTATCTCAAGTTTGTTGAACGGGACTTGAACCTACAACATTCTGACCCAGTGTAAGAGTGCAACTGTTTAACAAACGGGGAATGGGTAAATTGCTTCAAATCTACTGATAGCGTAGCTAGACAAAATTTGATTTAAAATGTATAGGAGATATTTTGTTTTTATAGTCTGCATTGCGTCAATTACTTGGCAGCTAACTCTGAGTATGAAATTGGAACAAATACGTTAACTTTAGTTTTAAATGCAACCTGAAGTAATGATCAGCTTGGCTTTAGGAACTTTGTGAACTTTTTTCCTTCTGTGTGCTATTTGTTCTCATTATAGAAAATAGACTGTTGTGGGCATCAGTCGTCCTGTGTGTTCTTATTTAAGTATGCTTTTTGTTATAGAAGTCACAGCACAATCAGATGCTACTGAAATACGACAAGACTGGAAGCCTACATTCCTTAGTAATGAAGAGTTTACTCAGCTGATGTTAGAGGTGTGTTATTTTGTGTGGGATCACTATTGTATAGCCAGAAATAGTTGTAACAACATCACTGTTTTATAATAAATAGGAATGTTATCCCATGTAACAAACAATTTTATAAGAGCCATTTCTTTACTGTGATTAAATTTGTGAAATCTTGTTCTCACTGCATAGTATTCTGGGACTTCTGGGAATGTTTGCGATGAAGTACAAAAAGTGCCCTCAGTTGTGCTCTCTCTTCTCTCTTTGTTCTGTTCTTTCACTGTGCTTGCTCATGGGCTCTCATTCTGTTGCTTACATGCTGTCCTCCTCTCATTCTCTCTATTTCTCTGATCTTTCTCCCTCTATCTTGTTATATTATTCAATACATGTATTACTCTTGCTTGTTGCAGCATGACACAGGTTGTTCAAGAAAAGTGCCACAAAGGTATGTCAAATTTGTGACACAGGGAGAAAGTATGACAATAAGAAGTGAACTTTAAAAATACTTTTATTACATGCATTATATATGGAAGGTGGGGGCCTAATGGTAATCTCACTGGCCTCGTCATCAAAAGACCCAGGGTCCGGGGACACAGGTTCATATTCCACCATGGCATTTCATGAAATTTTAAATTCAATTAATAAACCTGATATTTATAAGCTAATTTCAGTAATGATGACCATAAAACTACCATTAATTGTAAATTTTAAATAAAGCATGTAGTTCGCTAATGTCCTTTAGGAAAAGAAATCTGCTACCTTATATGTGACTCCAGACCCACAGCTTTGTGGTTGACTCAACCACTCTTTGACATGGCTCAGAAAGCCACTCAGTTCAAAGGTAGTTAGGGATGAACAGCAAATGCCGGCTTTGCCATTCATGCCTGCATTCCATGATAAGAATAAAGAAAAAGAATGTAATTCAAAACTTCTAGTGTCAATGTCCTCATACAAAGCTATATACGAGCTTTATTCATCAACTGATATTCATTAATTGTTCTTTGTTCTTTGCTCTTGTTCGTTGATATATATTATTACCTGCTTACAATTGCATTTAACGTAGTTTATTATAATAAATTCAGAAAGAACATTCCCATATTCCCATCTGTTTTACTGTCATTATTTGCTATTTATGTTAATTGTGTAATTCAAATAATAATGCCAACTCTGAAATTAAGTGCAAATATTTGTATGCTCTTAAATTGTTATGCTTTTTTTCTATCTTTACTTGAAAGTTGTGTGGCAAGGCCATATTTGTTGCTCGTCCCTACTTGGTGAGTTGCTACCACCTTGAACTATTGCAGTTCATAAGAACATCAGAACTAGGAGCAGGAGTGGGCAATTCACCCCTCAAGCCTGCTTCACCATTTGATATAGCAATAGCTGATCTCATCTCATCCTCAACTCCACTTTCTTTCCTGTCCTCCATAACCCTCTAACCCATTACTATTTAAAAATCTGTCTCCTCCTGAAATTTGCTCAGTGACCCAGCATCCATTGCATTCTGGAGTAGTGAGGGCACACATACAGAACTGTTAGGAAGGGAGTTACTGCTGTATTACCCAGAGAAAATGAAGGAACAGCGATATAGTTCCATATCAGGATGTTTGAATTTTCGGGTTGCAGGGTTCACTTGCATCTCCAACTCTTGCCTTTCTAGGCGATAGAACATAATGGTTTGGAAAGTGCTGTGTATTGATGTTTGAGGGAGTAACCTTTATGACGATGCCAGTCAAGCTTTATTCTGATGGCATCAAGCTTCTTTAGTGGTATTGGAGCATTGCTAATCAAGACATTTGGAGAATATTGCATTGCACTCCTGACTTGAGCCTTGTGGATGTTAAAACACCACATGCATGATTTGTACCTTGTAGATGGTGGACAGGCTTTGGGGAATTATAAAGTGAGTTAGTTGTAGCTGGGAACTCTGCAACTAATCTGCTGTTGTAACCACAATATTTATGTGGATAGTCCAGTGAGGTTCTGGTCAATGGTAACTTTCCCATCCACCCTAGGATGTTAATGGCATGGATAGGGGAGCTCAGCAATGTCAAGGGACCAAGATTAGATTGTGTTGGAGATTGTTATTGCACTTGTGCAATGCAAATGTTTCTTGCTACTTACCTTTCTTGAATGTTGTCCAGGTCAGCTGCAAATGAACCTGATTTGGTACTAAACTGCTGAAACTCTGTAAGGTGTAGTGGTCCAAATAGTATATGGGTTCTGTTATAAATTGGGTTTCCCAATAGGTAATCTTGGAACAACCTCAAATCTTTGAATTGTAATCATGGTTCTGCAGAAAGCTGAAAAATATTCTATTCTGACTTCAAACTGTTACTAATTATATTTTCATCAACCCTCTTTGATCTTGGTGCATTCATTATTATAATAAAATAGGAATAGGTAAGAATAAACAAATTATTTGCAGCTATATATGTCGTTAGCGCCATGTTAAACTCTTATCTCAGTTGTTTGCCAGTTTTAGATGGTGAACAAAAACACAATCTTAGAATTTGCTGTTGAAGTTGTGGGCCTCCCAAAAAAATGCTTTTGGACAAAAGTTAAAGCCACTGCCCTTAATTCACCTTAGTGTTAAATTCCTCTCATTATTCAGAGACTAACAAGTGAATTGATCACAAGTAATTTGAATTTATGAATTGTTGTTAATACCATCTGATAAACTCGTTCATCACAAGCATATTTCTTAACCAAAAGAGATTTTGCACTGATTATTGTTTAGATTGGGTGACAGGACACTCTGTATGTGGCTCCCCAAACTTACATTCCTAAAATAGTTTCCTTATGTCTGACAGAATGTTACATCCAGTCCTGGAAGCTAATAATTTTTCACTAACATTGCCTAGAATCTTAAATATGTCTAGTGATGAAAGTGAAATTATTCATCTTCTGAGTTTAGTTTTTGTACTTCAAACTGTAGTGTTTTTTGGATGGCTCATGCAACTCTCGCCAATATTATTGTCACTTTCTGAATAATTATGTAATGTATGCATTTATCTGGTGTTATTTATATGATTTGTTGCGGTTACTTACTCCAGTTTCTGAATTTCCCATTTAAAATCGAATTTCAACTGAAAAATTCATGCTCCTGGAAAGAGAAGTGACTGTGTAGAGGGACTCATGACTTGAACTAGATTGTTGACTTCTGCAGTACTTTGCAGTTGTGTGTTCACCAGTATCGATGTATTCATTGAATTTACAATGAAGATTTGATATCAACAATACTAACAAGTAAATCGAGTTTATTTTATAAAGTTCTATTGTGGGAACTGCAAAGTTCAAATTGTGTGAAATTACTCTGTGTTCTATTTAAAGAATGCAAGTGCATGACTGACTTCCGATCTCTTAAGCATGTTTTCTTTGTTGCAGGCATTAGATGGATTTTTTATAGCCATAACAACTGATGGAAGCATAATACATGTGTCAGAAAATGTGACTCCCTTACTTGAACATTTACCTGTAAGTACATTTTCATGTTAAAACTGCATGCAGTGCTTTTTTAAATTTTGACTCTTACGCTGTTTAAAAGTGTACTGTTCAAAACTGCGTGTTAATTAGTTCTATAAAAAATTATGCTAAGCATTTAGTTTGCTTAATAAGGAAAATATTTGAATGGCACAGTACAAAATTCCAGAAATGAAAGTGTTAACTCTGCTCCACAGCATCTGGTTTCTCGGCACCAGAGGTGTCAGTTTGTCCATGCACCTACTCAGCAGCATGTTTAACACTGGCTGCACAAAACTATCATGCAGATCAACAGACATCAGAAGTTGGCATGCCATCTCTATTAGATGCAGTGGTTACAATGAGTTGTGCATTCTGCTACCCACACCCAATTTTGGACCCTGTCCAGTTTTGTTGCCTACATTGTGGGGTGGCATGGTGGCTCAGTGGTTAGCACTGCTGCCTCACAGTGCCAGGGACCAGGGTCTGATTCCAGTCTCGGCAACTGTGCACACTCCCCTGAGATGTTCTCCCCATGTCTGCATGGGTTTCCTCTGCATGCTCCAGTTTCTTCCCACAGTCCAAAGATGTGCAAGTTAGGTGGAATGGCCATGTTAAATTGCCCATAGTACAGGGATGTGCTGGATCAACCATGGAAAATGCAGGGTTACAGAGATAGGGTTAGGGGGTTGGGTCTGGATGGGATGCTGTTCGGAGGAGTGATGTGGACATGATAGACTGAATGGCCTGCTTCTTCATTGTAGAGATCCTATGATTTAAATTATCGGTGGATTTGAATTATATCATTGTGCTTTTTTGAAAAAAATGTCTCATTTTCCTTTATAGTCTGATCTTCAGGATCAAAATTTATTGAATTTTCTGCCAGAGATGGAACATGCAGATGTTTATAAATTCCTGTCCACTCAAGTATTGGAAAGCAATTCTTTGATCCCAGATTATTTAAACTGTAAGTGATAGATAACATGTCTTAGTTATTGCTGGTGCTTAAAAATACCCCTTTTTGAACTGGCCACCATAAAGATTTACCAATAAACCCTGAAGTAGAAACTAATTCTGAAGCTGTACTGACTTCTGTTTTTAGCTTGGGCCTTGATAAAGATTGCCAAGTTTTGAAAAATATCTTGGCAATTTTTTTTAAAATTAGCATTGTAAGTTCAATATAAAATGTATTTACGTTGTGGCTTTTGCATATGGCAGATAAACATTATTTCTGTGCTAAATTTAAACATACACAAAATGCCCCAGAATCCTGCATTTTCCTTTTTAATTAGCATTGTTCTACAAAAGACTTTTTGGTCTGATGAAAGAGATGTTTTGTTTCAAAAACCAAGTTCTTTGACTTAAAAATTTAGTTTGGGACAGATTCTGTTCCTCAAATGGTCCTCTCATATTTCTGCAAAATATCTTTCTAAGACTGTATCCTGTTTTCACTCAATTGAGGGATAATTCAATTGAATGACACATTTTACACAGTAGAGTGTTTGTTGCTCATGGAATACCTTGATGATAAAAGAATATCAGTTTGTTCAGAAACAGTAAACTGTTCTTTATATGTATTTCATCATGTGTTGCTTTTCAAAATGAATGAAATGATATGCAGAGCAAATATAACCAGATCTATGTTTCTCCTTCAGTTCAGGTCTTCCACACACAGACCCTCAAGGGGTAAGGTCTGCACATGTGAAGATTGAAAAATCTTGCATGCCTTTTTGTGTCTTCTGCAGTCAGTGCCCATCCTCTCTTAATGCTATGTATAAGTCATTGACTGTTATTTCTCTTCAGCCTTGCAGATAGTGGTTCAAATATTATGTTACACGTTCAACTATCTTTAAACAACTTTGTACTTGTTTGTATGGAAAACTGTAATGCTGTGTTCTGTATTATGATTAGGAACTCCCCATGATCCTTATAGGGAATACATTTATATTTAGGAGTTTGCTACCTCTTAGAGATACTTGTTAGAAAGTTCTAATAAAAGAAAAGAGATAGAAAATTTCACAGCCTGGAATGTTTATCTTGAAACACTCAGAATTAAGAATGTCAGCATAATGGTTACCTAACTAGTACTGGAACTTTATTGCCAGTTTTTGGACATGGCATATCATTGCAGAGAACCTAATTGGAGATGCTGGCAAGAGGAAGAAAAATTTAGGCTAATAAATGAAGCAATGAGAATCCCAGTGGGTATGCACCAGGGCCATGTACCTGGCTCAGCATTTTAGAGTCATCAACAACCTGAGTAATCTTCCTATCTTGCATATACACTATGTAAGAATGCTGAGAAAAGTATGGAATTAATTTTTTTGCAAGTAACGAATGCACCTAGCATAAATAATAAATCCTGAACTCACTAGTTTGATAGGGATTGGTTGGTCAACATAATTTACCAGAAGACCTTGGCTGTTAGTACAGAAATTCTCAACTGTTTCAAGCTATATTGTCCAAGTACCCTAAGCCTTAAAGCCTACAAGATGCCAAATGATTCTCCCCACCATCCAGGTTAGCAGAATTATATAACAGAGAAACCAAGAAGTTGTTATGGTTCTTGGGCCACCAGATGCGCTATCAGTTGTTTAGTTGTCAATGGCTGGTTATTGACCAAAGAATTGAATTATTTCTTTTGTCATAAGATAGCAAATATTATCAAAGTATCATTAGAATTTGCATCTACAATTTTAAACAAAAAATACAAAGTTTTATTGAACTTTGTACAAAGAGCAAACAAGGAAATTTAATCTTTCCCCTTATTCTTTCAGATAGTCAGATCTTGAGATGCTTTCAAACATTTAGCACTGTCTGATTCTGTCCATTCTCTATGCTGGAACATGTCTGAGTCAAGATTTATGAGGCTCAGCTATGGAAAAGCAGCAGGTTGCATCTTACACTGCAGTTGCTTTATGAACTGTCTAAAAGGAGCTTAGGAAAATTTGGAGGTGAGAGAATGTAGTAGTGAAGTTAATTGGACAAAAGAGTTTGGATTGTTAGTAGAAATAATTTACACTGGTAATGTTATCTTGCAAAAGTTTGACAATTACATTTTTCTAATCAATATTGAATTCAAAGACAACCATGAAGAATTTACTGAACCTATTAATATTGAGGGAAAAATATATTTGTGCATGTTTCAACAAAATAGTTGCTACAAAACTTTGGAGAAAGGGAGGTTAGGAAAATAAAAACCATACCCCTCTAGTGTTTTGGAGCTGTAGCTTGTTTTTTAGAGTAGCATTCTGTTATAGGTAAGATTGAAGTGTTTGGATTTTGTAATGCTTAGAAATTAGGGTTTATATTTAGGTCTCTTATTCCTAAATTTTAATATACAAGATGGCAGCACTGTAGCAGGGCTGTGTTTGGGGCCTGGTGCCTGGAGCTCGTCCGCTCCTGTCTTCCTTTTTTTACTTTCTGCTTTTGCTGTTCTTTCCTTTTTCTTAATTATTTTTCTGCTTTCTTTTATTTGAAACCTTTTGCAGCGGGGTCATCAGCATTGGCACAGCCATGAGAGCCGGCCATGCGCAGAACGGTGGCAGCTTCATGGCGGTAAGAGGTGAATGCGACTTGTCCTTATGATCAGGGGTGGCAGACGAAATGGCATTATGTTCATGACCCCTCCTGGTGATCGGAGGGAATGGCAGCAGTGGCAATGGCAGCATGGTGGTATCCCTCCTGGCATTCGGGTTTGGCACCGGCAAACAGCCTCCAGACATCGGAGGCGGAGGCAGCAAAGATCCTCCCGGCCCTGAGTTGGCAGCAGCAGCAAGACTTCAGCTCTTCCCAGTGATCGATGTGATACTAGCAGGCTGGTTGAGCATTCCATACACTTTTACTAAGATGGGACTTCAAGAAAATCTGAATGGTTTTTCTTTCCTTTTGGTTCTGTTTCCTTTATTTCCATGTTGTTTAAAAAACTCTGCTTTTGTAACCAAAATGATGCCAGATAATGGTGACTTCGTACACTTTTCACTGTACTCTTTTATTCCTATCCTTGAGTATATGTGACAATAAAAGCTGATTCTAATTCCAATATACTGCAGATGATTAAGCTGTGATAAGGAAATATTCATCAAGTTAATTCCTGTTTGGTCAACTCAGTGCAGCATTTGAATTACTTCATAGACATTTGCTACGTTTCCACTACAATTCCTTCCTCATCTAGTTTATTTCTCCTGCATTTATGTCTGCCCTCTCTAACTACTCGAACTATTCCACATCAGTGCATTGTTAAGAAAATTGCTTCAAATTGAATAGGGAAACATTTTAGTTCCTGATAAAAGCAAAATACTATGGATGTTGGAGATCTGCATTGAAAAAAGAAAGTTGTGGGGCAGTGGTAGTGTCCCAACCCTGAACCGAGAGACACTGGTTCAAGTTCCACCTGCTCCAGAGTTTTGCAATAACATTTCTGAACAGGTTGATTAGAAACAGAAGTTAAAAATAGGAAGTGCTAAGGAGGCTCAGAAATTCTGGTAGCATCTGTGGAGAGGGAAACTAGATAATATTTCAAGTCCAGTGACTGATCTTTAGAACACAATTGGCATTAAATGATACTGCTTATTCTCTTTTTTTAAATCTCCTTGACTAGAAGAGGGTCAGGAAATGTCTGATGGCTAGCTTTAAATTTAACACTGATTACAAAACAGTAGTTTTCAAAACTTCTGCAAGATGGCTTTGCCCGAGTAAATTATTTTCCAATGTTTCTTTTGTTTCACAGGTATAAATTATTCTGAATTGAGCGTGAGATTCAGTTTCATTTATTGTTAATGCTGTTTTAAGTTCCTGGCACTACATTGTTGTCTATCGTGTTCCAATGAGCTATTTCAGTAGGCTGCATTTATTTCATTTGAGTCAGCGAGAAAGCCTAATTTTCCCAGTACCATGGTTTTTTTTTCAGCTCCTAGTAAGAAATCTCTTCACAGAAGTTGGCAAAAATCAAAAAAGTCTAACTTTTTTTTGCATAAGACAACCAAGATCAAAGGGAGCACCTATAATTCATATGTATACAGACTTAGTAAATCACCTCACGTCATTTTTTTTCTTTTGCTGAATAACTCAAGGTTGCTTTCTTTTGCTTATTGAGTAGAAATTTGCCATACATTTGCAGTCATTCCTCCATATCTGTGAGGTTTCCATTCCTGCCAGCCCCCGCAAATGATGCAATTCATGAGTGTGGAACTCGTTTAAAAGTAGGTTAAAAATAGTGGAATCACAATTTATGCCTGCAGACATTGATTGTTGTTACTTATTTTTTGGCACACCTGGGTGAATTTGTGATTTTGGGGAGACAGAGCATTTACTGTATGCTGTATGCCTAGATAACGTGATCAATCTTGGCGTCAGATACGAAATAAATCTCAAGTTCTGAACCCGGGTATTTCCCATGCACTTGAAACCAGAGATTTATGCTGGAATGGCAACTCTACCTGATGTAGGTAATGAGTGGTGATGATTAAGAATCAGCTCACTCCTCTTCAGCTTTGCAACATAAGATCGGTGAGAACCATCTATTCCGTTTAGATGGATATTTATTCTCTCTCTTTTTAACCTCTGCCTTGAGAGTGGGAGGAGAAAATGTTTTATTGTCTGTTAGCCTTTTTGTTTCATAGAATCTCAACTGTGCGGAAGAGGTCACTTGGCTCATCGAGTCTGCACCCTCCAAAGAGCATCCAACCCCTGCCCTATTTGCGTAACTCTGCATTTACCATGGCTAATCCATGTAGCCTGCACATCCCTAGACGCAACAGACAATCTAGCGTGGCCAATCCACCTAACTTGTACATCTTTGGACTGTGGGCGGAAACTGGAGCAAACCCACGCAGCCACAGGGTGAACGTGAAAACTTCACACAGTACAGTTGCCCAAGGCTGGAGTTGAACGTGGATCCCTGGTGCAGTTAGGCAGCAGTGCTAACCACTGCGCCACAGCGCCATTTCCAAATGACATATTTCAAAA